GGACACCCTCTCTACCTTTAAGATTAGACTTAAGACGTTCCTTTTTGATAAAGCTTATAGTTAGGGCTGGATCAGGTGACCCTGAGCCTTCCCTTAGTTATGCTGCGATAGGCCTAGGCTGCTGGGGGGCCCCATGATGCTCTGAGTTTCTTTCCCCTCCCCTCCTGCTCTGCTCTCCTCTCCCCTCTCCCCCTATGCTTCTATATGCCACCAACCGGTCGAGGCAGAAGGCCGCCCACCAAGAGCTGGGGTCTGTTGGAGGTTTCTTCCGTTAAAAGGAGTTTTTCCTCCCCACTGTCGCCAAGATGACTTTTGTTGTGATTTGGCGCTATACAAATAAAATTTGATTTGATTTGATTTGAATGCTATACGCTTTGCTACCCTTTCACCTGGTCTCCTGCACACACAGTATATCTACCTTCCTTCTCTCCATCATGTCTGCCAGCTCTCTACCTTTCCCTGTCATTGTGCCAACGTTAAGAGTCCCTATTCTCAGACCTATATTCCTGCCTTTCCTCTTCTCTCTCCATCTACAAATCCTTGTACCTCCTCTCCTTCTTCGACCAACAGTAGTCCAGTTTCTGCCAGCACCCTGTAGGTCAACAGCACTGGTGGCGGTCGTTGTTAACCCGGGCCTCGACTGATCCAGTATGGAATTCACACTAATGATTTCGTTGTTTAAATTTGGCATGTTTTTACACCAGATGCCCATCCTGACGCAACCCCATCTATTTATGAGGGCTTGGGACCGGCACAGAAGTTGCTGGCTTGCAACCCCTGTGGCTAGATTACCTCTGACAGTACTACTATGTTGTAATACAACAAGCAACAATAAAAGCCACCGATTGCAAGTTAAGTTCACATTGAGGGCTTTTCAAAATTTAAGTAATTTTATTTCAGCTTCTCATTTTGGCACTATACCTTCCACTGTTTCAGTGATGCTTTTAAGCTCTGAGTTTTTTGAGAATAACTTCCCAACTTCAGGTTTTTTTTGTCTCATGCATGTGAACAGCTGACCACAGCTGTGTGTCTTATGGTTAGTCCCCCTCACCAGGAGGGTGAGGGAGAACTGAGGTAGGACTCAAGTGTGCAGACCCAGGTGCTTGTGAAAAAAAATCGAGGTTTAATGGAAAAAAAACAAAGTAGCAATGTAACAGAGTCAATGAATACATACAACCAGTGTAGGACTGAGATGGTTGAGGAGACCAGGACGAACAGGTGAATAGATGAACTAACGGCAGGAATCAGGAGAGCAGGAGGATGAGGACAGACGTGAAAAATAATAGTGGCGAACATACCGACATCAACAGTACAGAGACTGTTAGCATTGATGCCAGTGACTTGTGGCTAAACACACGTGTACTACGTACTGAGGATAATCCCTGCACAGGTACTGTCAGCGCAGATAACCACTCACCTCACGGTTACACACATATGCATTAGACACGTCGATACACATAACATATAATACAATGCTCCGGCGACGACGGAGTGTCTGCCAGGGGTTTAAATAAGGAAGGAAAGGAATCACCAGAATGCGCCTCAGCTGTGCGCACCGACAAACGAGTCACTAATTACCGAATGCAACACAGCTGAGGTGCCGAACTCGCAAAAAAGAGAGCAGGAGAGAGAAAGGCAGAAGAGAGGCAGGTCACGCCGAGCAGATCTGACAGTGTGTGTGTCTATGTGTGTGATGCCTGGTATCTTCGGTGAGGCTCGAGATAAACCGGACAGTATTACTCGGCTATATAGAGCTGTTCTTGTTTTGCTGAAGTGAATCTGCCTGTAGACATAACAATTGGTTGTCCTTCGGTCTCGATACAAAAAATGGGTTGATCGTTCTTTTGCCGTGTATGACCCCAGGCTCTGGAACTCCCTACCGGCAGAGCTACGGTCCATAACTGAGCTAGCGGCTTTTAAGTCAACTCTAAAAACCCATCTTTTTAGAGCTTAACCTGTTCCAGTCTTAACACGTCTTTTAACTCGTTGTTTTACACTGTTTGTGTCCTGATATGTACGTTTTTTT